CCCAACCAGCTGTTAAGAACTAAACTTTTTAATATGAAACCTGGTTACAAATTTTCAGCCATACGTAGTGATCACTTAGGTTGTCTTTTTTTACTGACCTCTTTTGACAAATGGGACATTGTTGCGTTTGCTGCAGCGGAGGTGGAAATCCGTTGAGTCCAGCCATTGGAGCCGCCATCGGGTTACCCATGGGGCCTCCCAAGCCGATCGGAACGCCACGAAACGAGTGCTTCGCTCGATGTACACCCATATGTGTCTTCAAGTTGCCTTTCGTTGTGAAAGCACGCTGACATATTTTGCACTTGAACGGACGTTCACCTGGAAATATAAAATCTTTTAGTACTTCCACGAGAAGGTGCTATCGCAAGATACGGGAGCATCGAGGTGGCAGTGCATTTCAGACCACGTAAAACATCTCCTCTCTGGCAGAAATTGGACTAAGCCTTAGGTGGAGTAGGAGAGGCTCTAGGTTGCGTGAGCAATATTTCATAATATTTCCCCGATATCCCTGTTGCCAGCTCCTGGGCCCAGTCCTAGACCATGGCTCCCGTATCTTGCGGTAGCGCCTACGCCAACTATGTCTTTTTTGTCTCCCAAAGGCACACATGTGCACAACTGGGCCTGAAAGGGTTAACGATCTTGGAAAGGAAAGGCATACCGGTATGAGTACGGTAATGCATTTGTAGCGCACTTTTGCACGACAACACTCTCCTGCAGAGAATGCACTGATTCGGGTCGGTTGTTGGCATCGCTTTGTCGCCGACCAGGGCTCGGATCTTCTCGGCTTCATCGCTGGTCGATATCTGGCATGAATTCCATTTTGATAATTGCGTTTGAAAAATGGTAATAAACGCCAAACGCGCACAATCTCACCTCCATTAGCGCTTCCCAGTCATCTTCCGTGCTCACATCAGGCCGTTGGCCGAAAAGATCAGGACGAGGTTCGAACGGTGGTCGCATGAAGACTAAAACCGTTAAGATTAGCTCAAACCTCACCAAAGAGCTAAACCAAAGAAGAGCGTGCTAGTAAGGAAGACTTAAAGGGTCTTCCTTACTAGCACGCTCTTCTTTGCATAGGGTTCCTTAGCCTAACTTTGAAAGGTCTGTTCGGTGATACGATGAAAAACTCACATGGATGAGGAGGATGCGTGTTTTGGATCGTAAATGGTGGAGGAACTGAGAGCGGAAACAGATTAGCAGGCGGTGAGCAAAGGAATCCACCTTGCCGTTGTGGGAAAAATTGCCCAAATATAGCTGGTGGTGGAGGGGCATTTCGGGTCTTCTCCACAAGGGAGAAGGAAGGTCCAGCCACTGCTGGCACAGATCCACGATCGGCATCCGGACTGGCCGCGGACGATCGACTACAGCCTGCCGAGGAAGCACGAGGGAGGGCTGATGTGCAGTCGTGTTCGCGAATCTGAAGAGAATTAAAAGTGAGCTATTATTCATTGGAGGAAACTTCTGCTTTATCTCAGCTTTGAAAGTCGCGTTTTGGCCGATGCATGGCGTATCCTGAGCGCAGCTTACCTGGTCTCGATCGCCGAAACGAATGCCGCAGTGGCTGCATCGCAGAAGTTTCTCGTTTGAATGCTTCTCCATGACATGCCACAAAAGAGCGCCACGCGACGGATACGTCTGAAAAGATATGTTTCAACTGTACAGGTTAAAGTATAATTAAATCGTTCTGGGAATAGTTAGAGCGCAGTAGTAAGGATAGTGACGAGCGATTGGCCTGCGGCTTTTAGACGCGCCTCGGCTATTGTAGAGAATCCCAGGGACATTTGAATGAGTACTTGCTTACTGCAGCTGTTGCTCACGTCAGTGGTTTTGCTACTCCTAGCCAATCAGGCTTCAATTAATCTCCCCATGGCACATTTGGACGGCCCAGGGATTCAATCTACGATTTTTTTCTTTCTACAATGGCTCCATCCACCGCCCCCCCCCATTATTTTTCGCAGCAGGTAAATATTGATGATCTTTTGTAACCATGCTACCTTCTCTATTGTAAATTACGCAACATTGGTGAATAAATGAATTAATAATCTGTGCAGATTCGCGAAGACGGCTGGTGGCCTACAACTTGCTGTTACTACCGAATATGAGACATAAAGGGTAATTTCGAGGCTCTGCCTTATCTTTCTCGAATGTTCTGGACATTCAATTTCGTGCAATCACGAAATAAATTTTTGGCAACTATGAGTAAACATACTGCTAGTTCGGGCACTATCGCAAGATACGGGGGCTTGTGGTGGCAAAGCATTTCAACATGTAAAACATGCCCTTTTTGTAAAAAAAAAACAGCACTGAGCTTTAGGTACAGGAGGAAACTCCAGATTGCCTTAACAAATTTTTTTCATTTTCTCTATGTTCGCCCCCTCCTGGGCTTAGTCTCAAGGGATGCCACATTACCTTGCGTAACGCCCTAGTTGGTTTACTCAGAATTCCTTTAGCACCCGAATTCGAGGCGTATCAACAACTGATAAATATCGAACACCCTATACAGTATCCCCAAGTTCCCATAAACTAGAACCTTTGGTTTGATTATCTGGTTCATTCATTTCTGTCCCAAAGAACATTACCATGTAGTATAAAAGTCTCCCTAGACATCTTGTACCGTACAACCGGGTCTTGCTCGCATGGTGTCTTCATATGGAAGGTTAGGTAATCCACGTACTCTTGTCTCAATCAAACTTTTTCAACTTTCCATAATTTCAGGGGTTAACTCGCGTGGGATAGGAAAGGGATCAGTATACCCATCCATTGCGGCTTAGCACTCAACGCGCTGAAATCTTAGAACTCGTATCGAATATTTGTTTATGCGTACATGGCTTCTTGTGAACGTGCTCCGGTGGGCGCTCATGAGCGTTAGGGAGGGGGGGGGGGACACACTTTAAGTAGTAGAAGCCACTTACAGAACTTGAAACTAAGCCCTTAGGGAGATTAAGGGTTCTTGGGATGGGATGTGATCAACCTTTGTTCTCACTGGCGTTTCTCACTTCTCCTGAGCTGAGAGACGTGCGTTTCTCCTCCTGGGGTCAGGTCACCACAGTTGCGCGATCATTGAAGCTTAAGGTTAAGTTTGGGTTTAGACTTAGGTTAAGGCTTATGCTTACACATTGGCTTATGCCTAAGCCTATGATTGGGCCTAGGCTTAGTCCTAAGCTTGCTCCGAGCGAATGAACGGCGTCTCAATTTTAGGTGACCTGACCCCAGGAGGAGAAACGCTACGCACCCTGAGCTTAGTCTTGACCTGCCTGCTTTTAAACGCCCTGATATGAATGCAGCCTCAGGGCTGGAGCGCCTTTGTATATATTCTAGCTCAAAGCCAGGTTTGAAAGTTCTGAGCAATATGAACACACCTTTAGGACTTTTGCCCCCTCCCCCACATGCCCACTTCTCCTTAAATGAGTAGTTTTAATGTATTAGGGAAGGTTACTGTTAACCAACTCACCTCAGAGGGACCAAATAACTTTGCTGGTCCCAATACAATAAAAGTACAGGCGTTTAATGGTGACGGTATCCGATGCGCTAGCGGGGTCTCAAGGAGAAGGACAGATTAAGTTCTTACTTTCCCATCGGGGAGTCACCGAAGAGATAACCGCTGGTAGAGGAACCGCTTCGCAGCAATCATTTACACCTTCTGGTTTTCAAAGTTCTTTTTTTTCGTTCCCTTCTTCATTTTCCATGAAATCATCAAAGTCTCCGCGCCTCAGAACCCGTCAATCTTCCCTTCTGTGCAGCGGGTTCTTTCAATGTCTTGTGCGTTGCCCCATAATGCGCATTGCTTTATTGCTTTTCTATTGAACAGTCGCGACGACCTGAACGACGCCCATAACTCGCGAGGAGCGCTCACGCAAAAACCGCCTCTATTGCCGGCAAAAATGAGAAATCGCACATAGAGAGCGCACAGTACGTCACCAGCGTAATTCTTTCACATTAAGAAGTGATGTAGCAGAGCTAGATGATCACGAACCCCTATGTCAGGACTTTAGGAGAGAACTGCAGTAGGGAGATGTTTCGGAGAATAATGGGTATGTTTTTGACGGTTTGCGATATTTTGAGGAACGGCTCCGGAAACGCTTCATTAGAAGACGTGAAATAGGAAATGTTGCCGTTTGTCGATTGAATATTGAGAATCCGCGCCCACCCCCCGCTTTCTGGAATTATACCTAATATATATCGCCATTATGGTGGGTAAGTCTAGGTAAGGGCGTATTGGGCGAGTATAGAGTGGAGGTTTGGAGAGCTAATACTGGCACAACGCGTTAGCAGGAATTTTAACTACGAGAGCTTGCCAGAGGGTTCGGAGTCTCCATGCAAAGGGTTTGTTTTTTGACGGTGTTTTCGACTATTTGGGGAACGGTTGTTAAGAATAGGATTGTGTATAGTACGAATTTTGCTATTTTGTGGTTTGTTCATGCCAACTCCCTTCACCCCCCCCCCATCAGATAGAACCTATAAAAATAGCCATGACGGCGGGTAGTAGCCGAGGGTAAGGGGTCGTATTGGGGGAACAAAGTGAGGTTGCAGAGCTGACCTGATCACAACCCGTAGCAGGACATTCCAGCGAGAGCGGTGCAGAAGGCACGGATGCCTCCGGCGAGAATGGGCGTTTTTGACGGTTTTTTAACTGTCCTGGAGCACGTTTCATGAATGGAGCGCAAAATGGACAAAACTGTTGCATTTGGCGTTTGATTATGCCAACTCCCTTCACCCCTCCCCCGCCCGGATCAGATCTCTAAAAATAACCATGATGGCGGGTGTAGCCAGGGTAAGGAGTCGTATTGGGAACAAAGTGAGGTTGGAGAGCTGACCTGATCACAACCCGTAGCAGGACATTCCAGCGAGAGCGGTGCAGAAGGCACGGATGTCTCCAGCGCGACCGTGGACGTTTCAGAAGGAGCTGTCGATCTTGCTGTATCGCGACTAGCTGCCAGATGAGCACATAGCGACAGAATCTGCAAAGACAAGAGTCAGTGAAGGACCAAATTGAGTAAGGAGGGTGTTGCCGTACGTTCTGAGGAGAAGTGAGACTGGCAAGCGATTCGAGAAGTCGTGCTCGTTGATCGCCGCCAAACAGCGTCTGATCGAGCTTCTTCGTGGAGAGGTCAATCGGACAGGCATCCATCGCCTGTTGATCGTCGATGTCGTCCATGTCAGTCGTCGGCACTGAGGTTCCTAAACGAAAAACCTTTGTCAAAGCAGCACTTTTTTGACGGGTGGCAAGATAACGGAGCAGCTGTGATGTGTGTGCCTGGCGGGATTGGTGATGATGATCGCGCTACCATCATCCCGAGGAATGATCGAAAGTGCAGCTGAGGGAAGGAAAAGCACGGAAACCCCGCTTAGCGCCCGCCAGCACCCGTGTGTCTCCGTTTGTTCTCTAATGCGCACACTGTTTGCGTATCATATCGTCTAGTGACCGCTCAAATGACGAAATCACTGTGTCGAAATACGGGCACAGCTCGTAAAGCAGCGCTACCTGTGTTGTGCAGCCCGAATAGGGTTGGCAGTAACAGCCTATGTGACATGACATCGAAAAAATACAGCCATTCTTCACTTCCCTAGTCGGTCCGCAGAGTGGTTGGCAAGCTGCCAAGGTTTTCAACTTCTGATCTGGACTTTGAACAATGAGCGATTTACGTCGGGACTCCTGCCAAAAACCCAGGTAGCCAGCTGTGGCTCAAGCAAGCATGAACTTTATAGCACTACTTAGTAAATCTACGCCAGGCTTGTGTGTCGCTTGTATCTGCACTGACGGTGGGGGGGGGGAGACGGAGTTACTTTCCTCCACTTCGAATTGATCACATTTGCTCGAGTCAAACTAAATGCTCATCGTTGATACTTGAAGAGCGCAATCCAGTCTATCAAAGGAACTTCACAACAGTCTTCTACACCGGTTACTACAAAACATTACAGGAACATATTGCACGGTTGGAGCTCAACGAGGTCCTCGACGGATAGAGGACCATTGAGAGGATATTTGGTCGGAAGAGGTCCAGCATAACCATAGCAACAGTTGTTAGAAAGCCATCTACCAGTACCATCACTGTAGACCTCCTTAGGCTCGACGGCGATGGCAGATGACGTCATATTCTGTAGACGGTGAGGGTAGCGAAGAAGGGCCTGCTTCTGGTAATGGAGAGGCATCTGAGGAATACTTTATTCAACGTCTAAGGAACACTTTATTTAACTTTATTCAATTTATTCCTTCACCACGGCTGCACCCGATGCGACAGGCAGTTGAGCCATGCAAAGTGACTCTTTTTTCGGCCTTTCTCCTGTATATTGGTCGGTATGATAGTATTCAGGCATGTCGGAATTATCTCATTCCACCGGTACTTACAGTTCACTCCAGAGGCAGTCATATTGTAGGAAGAAGCGGTAATAGTTGCGTTATCAGTTTTACTAGATGTTGTGGTGGTGATGAAACCCTACTATCGCTTAACACACCATTGGCACAGTCACAGCTGCTTCAAACAACAGGCCGCATTTGGAGGTTATCACCTACAGGAAACTGCTGGCATACACCGGGAAACAGAAACCGTTTGCTCTCGGGGGAGTAAGTGGCAGAAAAGTTTCGGAGAGCAGGAAAAAGGAGGGGTAACCGAGCCTCAAAAGGTAAATTTTGAAAGGAATATGGGCATCTCAACCTTTCGTGTATCTACTCTCATTCCAGCCACTGGTTAAAGAACAAATTCACATGAAAGTGCTCAGAGTTCGGATGACAATCCATGATGGAGATTAGATGAAAGGCGTGAATCTGAAGGCGTCCACATCGCCGGTGTTCTTTCATCATGGGTTGATGAAACGCCAAGCCGATGTGAGATTTTAATAGATCACATTTCTGGTGAAGTGAAAAGATGGGAGTAGCTTCATTTCAGAATTCAGCATCGGTCGCTTAAATATTTTAATTTTCAGACGTCAAAAATAATCGAAAAGATGGCACCAGCCGGCAATGGCTTTGGTCCTATACATAACCATCCGTGGTCGTTGACGGTCCCTATATTTCCAGGATCAACAACACTGTTCAACATCGCCTTAACAAGCATTGTCTACTTGATGTTGCAGGTGTTGCTGGAAGACGACGT